AGTTGGCCAACATTTCTATAAATCCTTTGTTTTTATTGGTCTTCAGTAATATTCTAATTTTCTGATATGATGAATTTGAGATTTTCATTTGTTGTCATTTGTAATCATCACAATTAAACAAAATAAACATCTGAAATATATGAGTTTGTATGTAATGTATGAATATAATATACAAGTTTCACTTTTTAAATGGAATTACTGAAATCAATCTACTTTTTCATGATATTCTAATTTTATGACCAGCACCTGTATTGATGGATTGTGTACAGTATTACAGTAGTCGTGTCTGCTAAAAACAAATGCATTAAATATTTTTAGAGTCTTATTGGGACATCAGTCACTTAATTCTGGTAATGTTTTGAGGTGACGATACAGTGTTTTAGGATAAATTCAATGTGATTTTAAAGATTGAGATCAGGGTTGGAGTAAAAGTTTAATCTTGAAAATATCATGATGTACTTTTTTTAAGCCATCATCTTAAAAAAGAAGGAGTAAGACACAAAACTACCAAGACATGGCCGTTCACCCAAACTGAGGCAAGGCAAACACAGCAGGGCTCTAAGTGGCTAGTGGTATCTGTAAAAAGTGAAGAGTTACAGCTCGGATAAAAGACTCTGTCAGCAGAAAAACATATTAGTTGTGCGTTTAACAAACCTAGCTTTTAAATAATAGAAGAAAAAATGTCTATTTTTATAGATAGACATATATATAAAAGTTCTGTTATAAGGTTACTGCATTTTAAATATTATTATTTAATTTCTAGTCTACATGTAGAAAGTTTTGTATTTGCAGAAAAGGCAGCAGATCTCCCTGAATAAACCTTTTTCATTGTGAAACAGGATAGAGACATCAGATGATGTGGAAATGCTCAGTAGAAACAAAAGTTAGTCAGAGCTGCAAAACACTTGAGACTGGGGCAGAGGTTCTCCTTCCCCCCCAAACATACAGCCAGTGCTACAACAGGAGAGTTGAATGAGCTGCTTTTGACACTCATAACCATTTTGCATCTGTAATAACAGCACATATGCAGAACAGAAGTAGAGCATTCAGTACTTCCATGATAGTGTTCTACTATTTTAAGGTCTGTGCTCCATTTGCCTCCACTCTTCTCTGTCAAATGAGAGCAATGGTTATCACATGCGTACTCTCGTTAACAAGTTATAGTTCACTTGTAAAAATCTACAGTTTGAAAGCTAACAGAATATCAAGTGGGAAAAAAGTCCATCTTTGATCCAGACCAAACAAACATATTAGCACCCTATATTTGCAATGGAGGGTGCTAATATGTTGTACAAATGAACTAAACACAAAGTATGACATACTTTCTTAGACTCAGACTTAGAGACTTAGACAAACTTTGTCATTTTGTATAAACAGAGTGTATACAAATTTAAATTTCGATACATACAGCTTTCCAACATTAAATGAGCTGCTTAGCAGTGAAATGAACGTTACCATTTATAAAGTGCAGCAGTAGTCAAAATGTAAACAGAGTTGGAGAAAAGGAAAACCGGTTTAAAAACATGGTGCAAAAGGCATTGATATGGAGCAGTGCAAAATAAATAGGGTGCAAAATGCAGTAGAAAAACTGAGTTGAGTTCTATTTAAAGGGATTTGAAAATTCACCATGTACTGTAGTCTTGATTTGTGACTTGATTGGAGTTTGAACACTTCAACAGTCTCACCAGGAAAAAGCTTTTACACAACCTGCAGGTCCTGCATCGAATGCTGCAAAGCCTCTTCCCAGAGGGCAGCAGGGAGAACAGTCCATGATGGGGGTGTGAGGGGTTGCTGATGATGATTTTCAAACCTTTACTTGTAAAAACACTTAAAACCAACTATTATTTCATTTACATTTCACAATTATGGCCTACTTTCTGTTTTTTTTATATGCCATTGCATTGTAATTTTAAACAATATCATAAGGTTAAAGAATAGTGAATAGTTTCACATTTAATATCATTATTCATCAATAGTCTGTTGCCTCAAATGTTTTTCTGGTCTTGAAGGAAGATGAAAGCTGGATCAATAGCACTGTCATTTAAACATTTAAATAAACGTTCTGTCTCAACAGAATTTTTTGTTATATTTAACAGCTATAACATATAAGAAATGGCTGCATATGTGTAATTTATGGCAATTACCGTACTTAAGCAGATATACTGTAACTGTACTGCGAAATGGTGAAAAATATATTAATGGTTCAAAACGTTTTTTAATGTTATTAGTTTGAAAAATGTTCTCTTTATTTCTTTTTTGTTAACTCTAATTAATGACTATAACAATCACCAGACATTCTCCTAGAACTCTTTTCCTACTTCTGCTCTGATTTCAGCAGGTTTTAGGAGCCTTTACTTAGTTTCCCAGTCGCTCTCTTTTACGCGCAGATGTACAATCGGAGGGTCAGCCGAGGTGGCCATGTTAACGCTATGCTAGTGTTGTGAGGAGGACTAGACAGTGAGAGGTCAGTCGGGGTCACCCTGGCTGTCCTCCTCTGTGATAGGCTGTCACCCAGAGGTGAGGGGTCAGGATAATTAGGCATGCAGGATCCCAGCACCGCTGTTCTAACGAAGCCTGAGCTCGTTAATGCAGAGTTTTACACTCGGACCTGCCACTAAGCTTCGCTGCACCGTCACACACATACATGCTGAGCGCATGTTTGCACACGCACATTAGCGCACACCTTTGATTTATCCTGCAGGTCCAATACAAAGGCTGTCTTATTTAGTACATTGGATCACCGGGCTCAGTCAGGAGGGAATGGAGATGTTCCAGAAATGTTTAAATATTGAAGTTAATTATAGGACCAAATATATTAGAATAAAAGTGAAATTCCAATTGAAATGGGAGGATAAAGTATTTCTTTATTGTTTGCACAATCATATTCACAGTTTTATTTGGTAAGTTGTTATCCTTTTGTTTCGCAAGAATGAGTGTTGTCCTTTGGGCATAGGGTGAGCTTCTGAATACTTTATTGTGATGCTCGGTTATTCACATACAATCTTTTGTTGAGTTATGGTATATTTTATAAAAAGACATAAAGAAATGAGAGAAAGACACTAAAGAACAGGATTTTGACCCAGTTTGGTGTAATTACCTCTAAGGAGATTATGTTATTGGTCAAGTTTGTGTGTTTGTCCGTCTAATTACAGGATAACCTGGAAAGATACAAATGTATATAAAAGGCGTTTCTACCAAAGGTTCACCTCAGCAGATGGAACAGTCCATTACATTTTCCACAATATACCGTGGATGCAGGATTTTTTTTAATGATTCTTTAACGTTATTTGGCGGAACAAGCAATACCCGCCTAAACCAGAAAGTGGTAGTATTGACAGCTTTAGTATCGGATGAAAAAAAAGTCTTGAAGTATCATACTGTAGACAAAAAAACATGAAGGAGAGCCAAGCCTTGCTTGTAGTCTTGATCTGCTGATCAAACAAAAAAAGCAGAATGAATGAAGGTGAGAGCAGAACAGACACCAGAGGCTGCAGAACATGCTCTGCCTTATAAACTTATGCAAGGGTTTTAAGAAAACTCTTGCTAAAGGTGCACCTAATGCCAAGGAACACTTCATTTAAATTAGGTAATGATCCAGATCATGTGTGAGGTTTAGCTCTAGGTGAAATTTGGGGCAAAATGTGATGCTTGGCAGAAATTTGCTCTATCCAAGTGCCTCTCTAGTTTAGTTTAGTTTAGTTTAGCTTTATTAGAATCCCCATTAGCTGCCAAATAAATGGCCACTAATCTTCCTGGGGTCCTCACATTAAGAAATTACATTACATTATGAACAAACCATTAAAAAAAATCACATTAGGAAATAATAGGAACATGAAAAAGAGTAGGAATATACAACATATATACACAGGTCAGTTCATCATATCATCTGCAGTAGTTCTGAAGACAGTATCTTTTTGAAGCTTGTTCTGTTCTGGACTCTTCGCGTGGTTATTGGCAGTTAGCAATATTTCTATGTGTTTTTGCAGATGCTGAAAGATGTATGAATGTATTAATACACCTGCCAGGCTGGACAGATGACTTACACAGTTCACAAACATCTTTTCATTTGATTTACTATGTAAATCAAATGTTTGTCAGACTTTCATGACAATAACTTAATATGAAATATGTTGGGATGATTTTGTTTATACCAACAAAAAACTGCATAATTGTTAAGTAGTTGAAGAGCTGTGTTTTCTATATCTACATGTACTGTAGTGTTGCAGTCTGTGCTGCACATTACCCTCTAGAGATGGACAGAAAATTAGGTACAGAGGGCGAAAGTATAAAATGCTGCAAATGCATTCTACTGGTCTCATTTCCATGTGTAATGTAGACGCATCAAGCATTAGTCAATCATCAGTGAATAATGAGTTTAGACACAAAACTTTTCAGATTTAATTTAGAAAAAAAAGAGTTTGAAGTTTGTTTTTTTCTTTTTAGGTGCACTGCAAATATGCTATCTCTCATAAATCTTAGTCAAAAATAAATTGTATGATTGAAAAAACATAGTTAAATTAATTTAATTAAATTAATGTGTGTATTTTTGATAGTTTTACTAAAACAGTAGCTGTGTTCATACATGTGTTGATTTCTTTAGAAAAGCAAATAAATTTTTTTTTTTATGTGGAAACATGTTTATGATTTTTATGCTTTTGTGTTTGAAGTTATGAAACCAAATAGGTTAAGTATCAGATGTTATTTAACTTTGAATTTAAACTTTTTCATTATCATCCATTTTTTCGATCTTCTCCTCAAATGTGTTCATTTCAATTTCTACCTACTGTAGCCTTTATCCACTGCTTTTATTTGGCATTTCAAGGTAGATAACGTTGTTATTAGAATTAAAAACAATGGTTTTTTTTATATATATCTAAGTAAATCTCACAGGGAGATTCCTTATAGGAACTCTAAAATGTTTATTTCACTCATATTTTTCATTGGATCTACCCTTTTTAAGACAGAAAGAAAAAAAATATTTTACTTTCTTGTCTCAACAGATTTTTCCTTAAGTTTTTCCTCAAGTGCAACCAGAACTGCTTAAAGAACGCCGGAAACCCAAGGGACATGAGAAGGTTCCAGGTACAAGCCTTCTTTGTCTTTCTACCTCTTTTTCCTTTCCTCCCCGTTTCATTTACAATGGACACAACATAATAATATCTATATAAATTTATGGCTGTCACAACACATAAGCACAGGAATGAATCTAAGTAAATAAACTATCAGGAAACTCGAGATCTTGACCTCTGACTGGTCACAGCATAAATATTCCCACACATCAGGGACACAGAAGTTAGGGGGAGGGGATGTAGGATAAAGAAAAATGAGGTGAGGGGCTTGCGGGTAAGATTTAAGACAGCACAGTCATTATTATTTCCTTATCTTCATGGCTGCAACACAATCAGGAAGACACCACTTGGAGTTGAGTGGATATACTGGACGCCCAGAAGATACTGATAGATTTATTACCATGTGCACATGTGTGTGTGTGCACTTGTGTGTGTATTTAGGGGAGAGAGACGGGACAGGGAGGGTCAAATAGTAGCAAGTGTGTGACCGAATCTCTGCCTCTAATTGCACAGCTCTATTGTAGTGGAACCAGAGAAAGACAGATCTGTTTCTCTGGGAGATAATTAAAGACTGGACCCATCAGGAACACACACACATATATATAGAGATATATATAAATGTGCAGTCACAGTAACTTAGTGTATATTAAGAGTGGTGGTAATAGCAGTAATAACTGGTTACATTTAAAGAGCTTTTCACAGCTTAATGCTTTAACTCCTCTGTGACAATATGTCGACCTTTGGTGTTTTTATGCTTCACTTTCCTTTTTTTGTACTTTTGTCCCTCCTTAACTCCTTCCTTTCTTATTTATCTTTTTTATTACATATTATACTCCTGTAATGATTCCTTCTCTGTCACCTGTACCTCCCATCTCATCCCCTGCATCTCCTCAGGTGGTTGTGTCGACGACGGTAAGCGTGGAGGGACATGTCCTTGCAGTTTCTGACAATATGTTCGTCCATAACAACTCCAAACATGGCCGGCGGGCCCGAAGACTCGACCCCGTGGAAGGAACCCCATCTTACCTAGAACACGGTAACACCAGCCTGTGTGTGTGGGGGTGTGTGCCTGTGTGTGTGGAAGCAGCATGGCCACCAGATGGTTGATGGTTTAATCCTATCAGGTGATTCCTGCCCCTCCATCTGGCTAATCCAACTTGCAGCACACACACAGCAAGATGTATTGCTGTGCATGTGTGTGTTTCTAGGCTAATATCATTATACACTTTCTCATGAACAAACCCACACTGAGAGCTGTTGTTGTAATTCAGCTGAATGCTGATAATCACACACTCCCATTAGAGAGAGAGCTTTTTTTTTTTGACTGACAGGAAGACTTTTGCCGTTATCCTTGTGGATTGGATCAAATGCTTTTAACCTCACAATAGTCAGCATTGAAGCGACATTAAGCTGTATCTGTTCTTTTTAAAGTAATATGATGCACGTTGGACCACCTGTGTGTGTTTTTATTAGAGTTACATTAGCTGTAATCTCACATCAGTCATACTTTTAAATAAGCAAAAACTCAGGTCCTATCCACACCGCCTTGGATATTGAAGCAATGACTTTTGCTGCAATGGCATCTTTTATAAAACAAAAATCAAAGGAATGGGTAAAAAAAACAGTAAAAAAGATCTGATAATTGAATAGATTTTCTGTTATGAATATATCATCATAAACATAACATAATAAAACTCTTCAATACACTGACTGTATATAACATAAGCTTGGAGCTACCGCAGCTGTAAGGCTAAGTTTTTTACAGGTTTGTAGAAAAAAATCTAGGAGACTTCAGGCATGAGATGAACTCACCTCAGCTCTTAAAATAAAGAATTAGTGATTGCTTAATTTACTTCATTCAGTTTATGAGTTAAAAGTTCTCTAAGGAAAAAGCCGATTGCAGTATTCACAGACTTTGCAATATTCACTCCTTCTGTATGAGCATGCAGGGACAGTGGACATTGATTTGCAACCTGCTGTTGACTTTGTAGCAGTCTCTAATACTGAGCGTGCATGCAGTGATATTGGAGGCAAAACCTCCCTTTATTAGGAAGAAACCCTGAACAGAATCAGGTACTGTGTGAAAGGCCCTTCAAAAGACAAAGCAGAAACACAAAAGGAACATATGTGCCATTAACACTAGCCTTTTAAAACTGTGCCGAGAACGGTCGGAGCGTGGTAACCGAGATAACTGTTGAGTGTAAATGGAACTCAACTGAACTGGACCGTGCCAGACACAACCAAACCGCGCTAAATCTAGTACTAGTTCAGTAGTAGGGCTCGGCATGGTTCATCTGTGGCTCGATTGTCTTATAACAAAGAGCTCATGAGCAGAACGCGTCTCATATTTACGGTCAGCTGACTCATTTCGGGGGGATTTTGCAATTCACCTGTTCGCAACATAAACTTCTTCACAGCTTATTAACAATTAGCATCAAAAGAACGTGGTACTACCTGGGTTGATACCAAGACCGAGAAGGTTCCCTTTTTTGCCTGACATTCCACAAACAACAAAATATCCCTAATATAAACAAACATAAGTTCCTCAATGTTATGGGTGGTGCCATTTTTGTTTCAGTAATTCCCGCCATGAGAGCTGTAGTATCACGGGCCACTGATAGGATCCAAGGAACCGTGCTAGCGTTATATGTAAGAACCAAGCTGGGCATGGTTAACTGATCCAAGCTTGGTAGGGCTAGTGTAAATGGGGCAATAGAAACAATTACCCAGGAATACTTTCTATGGCAGAGAGGGTAATGGCAGACTAGAACTATTGGCTTTCTTAAATATAAAGCACACTCTTAGTTGGTTATCAGATCATGAGAGAACATGGTTGCACTAAAAGCTTAAAGGAAAATTCCGGTTTTTAACACTTTTAGCCCATTTTCTGTAGTGTCCAGGATGAAATCGAATGATCGACACCAAAATGTTGACAATTGGTCCTGTCTCTGCTATTTGGCTCATGCAGAATCCCCCCCTGGATGCTTCAGAATGGCTTCCATTGTGCATTTCCGATAATGTCCTTAAAACAACCTTAAACGTTCTTTTTTTAAAATATGCTACTCACCGGGTCGTCAGCGCTGTTCAATGACGTTCCAAAAAAAGTTTCGTGAAGAAAAACCGTTCCTGTCTTGTTTTATTTAGCATTTTGTAAATCCCAGAACTATTTTTTCCGATACATCACAACCGCTTATAAACTTCCGCTTCCCGTTCGAATCTGAAGCGTTGCACACTCCAGACCACTAGTTGGCGACGGTATCCTCTACCGTCAAACTCAAAGTCCAATATGTCCTCCTCAAGAATCCACCTTTCGTATTCCATTTTCAGAGTTTTTTAAAGTGTTTAACAGAGACGTTAGCACCTCGACGTCGGAGTACACAGAGTGAAGCAGAAACACTTGGGCCTTGCGAAAAGACTATAACTAAGCGTAAACAGGCCCCATTTCTGTTTCCGGTGGCGGAGGGATATTGACTATTCCAACAGAACTCAATGGGATTTACAAAATGCTAAATAAAACACTACAGGAACGTTTTTTCTTTACGAAACTTTTTTTGGAACGTCATTGAAAAGCGCTGACGACCCGGTGAGTAGCATATTTAAAAAAAAGAACGTTTAAGGTTGTTTTAAGGACATTATCGGACATGCACAATGGAAGCCATTCTGAAGCAGCCAGGGGGGGATTCTAAATGAGCCAAATAGCAGAGACAGGACCAATTGTCAACATTTTGGTGTCGATCATTCGATTTCATCCTGGACACTACAGAAAATGGGCTAAAAGTGTTAAAAACCGTAATTTTCCTTTAACTAATGTTAAGGAAAGAAGCAAAACCAAAAAACTGGGTCAACTATCGTAGCTATAGAATAAAGTTGACAATAGCAGCAACCCAGCCTCCCTAGTTGATGTTGTCACAGCTAGAAAGAGCACTAGGCCAGATTTAGTCACTATTAGGAGAAAAAAGCATAGGAAACATAAAGTTCAAAGTTTAAGTGACAATGAAAACATTAAAAATAGCTGTAGAATTTAGCAGAATAAGGGAAAGTGGTCCTTATGTCCACCAGCAGCCTATGCCTATGACTGCATAACTACAGTATAGAGATAGGTCAGGATAACCTGAAGCACTATACTGTAAGCTTATCAAAAAGGACAGTTATAAGCCAAGCCTTAGTAGTAGACAGGATGTATGTCTCACAAACTAAAATTGATAGTTCATTTCCTAAAAGAGGAGCCTGAAAACAAAGAAATTTGCCTCCTATTGTACTTTTAGAAATTCTAGGAACCAATAGTAAATTTGCAGAGTGAACATAACATCTGATAGGAACATAAGGAACAGTCAGATCTCTGTTATAAGATGGAGCTTAATAATTTTTATTTTATTTTTTTTTTGTGTTAAAAGGATCCTTTAAAATTCCATTTCAGATTGAAATGTTGTTTCAGTGTTGAGCTCTGAAACCGAACTAAAACTTTCCTGGGGATAATGGTGTAAATGTTCACTCATTTGATCAGCAACTATTTTCTCAGGCGTTTTAAATAAGAAAGGAAGATTAGATATGGGTTTATAATTCATCAAGTCTTCTTGACGCAGATAAAGTTTCATAAGTAAAGGTCTAGTAATAGCTGCCTTAAGAGCCTGATCACTGCAGAGTAAATTCTAAATGCTTTTCCCATCTTTTCTTTTAAGTTAAGGAATTCAAAATTGGCTTAAATCTATATTTGGAAGCGAAATTTTAAAAACATACAGCAATTGAAATCTACTGACTATACAACATGATACAAATTCAAATATAAAATACTGAATTTAGTCATCCTAATTTTTTTGTCTTTATTTTAAATATCATGTTAAATGTTAATACTCTATATAATACTCCACATTTTATCAGCTAAGTTAAGTGGAACGAGTCAACATAACTTGCTTAAGTAACTTAAATGTGACATTTTTTAGGGTGTATTGTATTTCTGTGCTGTCAACAACTGGATCCCTTAACCCCTTATAAAGATCTGTTCAAAGGACTTAGACTTAGACTTCTTTATTTGTCATTTTGTATGCACAGGGTGCATACAGAACGAAATTGCGTTACATACAGCTTATGAACGTTGCATTGATATTTCAAATGGCACGAGTTATAGAAAAATACAAAAAGTGCAGCAGTGGTCAAAGTGTGAACAGCGCAGAGGACAAGAGACAGTGTGCAAGCTGCAGTGGTTCAGTGCAAAATGGCATCTGTGCAAAAAATGCGTTATTGAAAAATACAATGAGATGAACAATTTAAAGGGCTAAAAGTTAAAAGTTCAGCAGCATTTGATGCCCGATAATGTGCAATAGGCGCAGAGTTCGGACTGTGGATCAAAGGTTCAACAGTCTGATGGCAGTGGGGAAGAAGCTGTTGCACAACCTGGTGGATCTGCAGCGGATGCTGCGGAACCACTTTCCAGAGGGCAGCAGGGAGAACAGTCCATGGTGGGGGTGTGAGGGGTCTTTGATGATATTACGGGCTCGGGACACACAGCGCTGTGATGAAATGTCCTTAATGGAGGGAAGAGGAGCCCCAATGATTCCTTCCGCTGTCCTCACCACCCTCCTCACATTCTTCCAGTCAGAAGCTCTGCAGCCTCCACACCACAGAGAGAGACAGCTGGTCAGAACGCTCTCTATGGTGCTTCTGTAGAAGGTTGTGAGGATGGGCGGGGGCAGGCGGGCTCTCCTCATCCTCCGCAGAAAGTACAAGCGCTTCTGTGCCCTCTTCACTAGAGATGAAGTGTTTACAGTCCAGGTGAGGTTGTCCGTGATGTGCACCCCCAGGAACTTTGTGCTGCTGACCACCTCCACAGCTGAGCTGTTGATGAGCAGTGGAGCATGGTGGGGGCGGTTTTTCCTGAAGTCGACGATGATCTCCTTCGTCTTCTCCACGTTCAGGATCAGACTGTTTTCACTGCACCAGTCCACCAGCTGCTCCACCTCCTCTCTGTAGTCCCGGTCGTTGTCGTCCCTGATGAGGCCCACCACCGTGGTGTCGTCCGCAAACTTCACGATGTGATTGGTGGTGAACCTGGGGACGCAGTCGTATGTCATCAGGGTGAACAGCAGGGGGCTCAGGACGCAGCCCTGAGGGGAGCCCGTGCTGAGGGTGATGACATCAGAGGTGTTCTGACCGACCCGGACTGACTGAGGTCTGTTGGTGAGGAAGTCCAGCAGCCAGTTTCGAAGGGGTGTGTTGAAGCCCAGATGTTCCAGCTTTCCCACCAGGTGCTGTGGGATGATGGTGTTAAACGCTGAACTGAAGTCCAGGAACAGCATCCGCACGTGGGTGTTCTTCTCCTCCAGGTGGGCCAGGCTCAGGTGAAGAGCAGAGGAGATGGCGTCCTCAGTGGAGCGGTTTCGCCGGTAGGCAAACTGGAACGGGTCGAGTGTTGGGGGGAGACTGGAGACGATGTGTTCCTTTACCAGCCTTTCAAAGCACTTCATCATGATGGGAGTCAGTGCGACGGGCCGGTAGTCGTTGTAGCAGGTGACTTGAGGTTTCTTTGGCACTGGGATGATGGAGGCAGACTTGAAGCATGCTGGCACTGTGGCTTGCTCCAGCGAGGTGTTAAAAATGTCCGTGAGGACACCAGCTAGCTGACCTGCACACTCCTTGAGCACCCGCCCAGGTATGTTGTCGGGACCTGGGGCCTTCCGCGGGTTGACCCTCCTCAGAGTCTTCCACACGTCGGCTGTGTCAAGGCAGAGAACCTCCTCTTCCTGATGTGGGACAGCCTTCACTGCTGGAGTGCGATTTAGTGCCTCAAACCTCCCAAAGAAGTTATTTAGTCCGTTTAGGAAGTCAGCATCAACTTCATCCACCGGGGCAGGGGGCGTGTTGTAGTCTGTGATCGCCCGTATGCCTTGCCACATGCTCCTGGTGTTGTTGGCGTCGTGGAACAGATGCTGGATTTTCTGGTTATGGTTCCGCTTTGCTAACCTGATGGCACGGTTCAGGGTGGCTCTAGCTGTCCTCAGTGCCTCCTTGTCACCAGACTTGAAGGCTGAGTTCCGTGCTTTTAGCGCGTGGCGGACCTCCTCAGTCATCCAGGGCCGTTGGTTGGCTCGGGTGGTGATGGTCTTTGTTGTGCTGACGTCCTCGATGCAGTGGTTGATGTAGGCTGAAACAGTCATGGCGTACTCATCAACATTGATCTTGTTGTCATATGTTGCTGCTGATTTGAACATGTCCCATTCAGAGCATTCAAAGCAGTCCTGGAGTGCATCCATGGCCCCCTCCGTCCAGACCCTCACCTGCTTCACTGTAGGTTTTGCTCTGATCAGCAGGGGTCTGTATGCAGGAATTAGCATCACAGAAAGGTGGTCTGAGGAGCCGATGTGGGGGCGGGGGGCTGCTCTGAATGCGTCTTTTATGTTTGTATAAACTAAGTCCAGAGTGTTCTCTCCACGAGTAGCAAAATCCACGTGTTGATAAAAATGAGGGAGAACAGTTTTCATATTCGCCTGATTAAAATCTCCAGCAATGATGAAAACGCCCTCTGTGTGTGTAGATTGCAGCTCAGAGACAGTCCGATAGAGAACACTCATGGCCTCCTTTGTATCAGCGCTGGGGGGGACATACACCGCTGTGATGGTAACAACAGTGAACTCTCTGGGCAGGTAAAAGGGTCTGCAGCTAACAGTCAGAAGCTCTATGTCCGGAGAGCAAAAACTTGTGACTATTCTAGCATTTTTACACCAGTTGTTATTGATGTAAACACAGAGTCCGCCTCCTCGGCTCTTACCGCTGAGTTCTTTGTTTCTGTCGGCGCGGAAAGTAGCTAGCCCCTCCAGGCTAATGGCGTTGTCCGGGGTTGATGATGTGAGCCACGTCTCTGTCAGAATGAGAGCGCAACAGTCCCTAAACTCCCTCTTTGCTGAGAGCTCGAGTTGAAGATGGTCAGTTTTGTTATCCAGTGAACGTACGTTGGAGAGCAGGATGGATGGAAGCGATGGTCTGTGGGGGTTAGCCTTAAAAACAGCAAAACAGCAAAAGGCTGTTATTGAGATTACACTGCATTACAGGATTTTTATTTTTCTCTGTTACCATCCTCCACCGTGCACGTTGGTAACTTTGGGTTGTTTTCCAGCGGTGTTTATCCCAGCTGTATTAACTAATTTTTTGCTCCTAGATTCTCTTAATCTTTCCTAATATATATTCCTTTCTTAACCAGATTCAATTTTCAATTCAGTTTATTTCTATAGCGCCAATTCACATCATCTCAAGACACTTTGCAGTTCACCAGCTCATACAGTCAATTTTATTCAAAGTTTTCTATCTAAGGAAAACCAGTTGATTGCATCGACTCATTGACTCAAGGGCAAGATGAATATAGTCTAATAGATTTTTTGTTTATGTGTACGATGTTGTTTCTGCAACAATAGATTATTCACTTTTACATTTTTAAACAAGGGCTTGATTTGTTGTTGGGAGCATTGCACATTAATAAAATGTTTAAGCCCCTACCTTGAATTTCAAAATAGATCCCTTATCTTACATTGTGTCATCTTGGGACCATGAGATCAACCAGAACTTAGAGATATTGCAGAAATACCAAAAGAGCTATAAGAAGGATTTCTATCCGAGAGACTGATTTCGTGGATTTTATAACAATGGCCATTGTTGTAAGAAAGTGTTTTTAAAATGGAAACAATTTGCTTTGTTTTGCAACTATTTATTTTAAAAGTAAATAAGACTAAACTCTCGTTGATTTATATTTTGTTGTTTTTCCTCCAGGAGCAGCTCCCTGCATTAAAGCCATCAGTCCCAGCGAGGGGTGGACTACAGGGGGCGCTACAGTCATCATCATAGGAGACAACTTCTTTGACGGCCTTCAAGTTATCTTCGGTACCATGCTGGTTTGGAGTGAGGTCAGTTCATCAGGGTGTCTCTTTAGCCCTTTAGCTCTGGGCTCCAGTCATCGGATTGTTGGAAGAAATTTAATGTGAAAACATATTTTTCCTCCGTGCTCTAGATCTTAACTGCAAGTGATTGAGATTGTGTGCTTGTTTAAGTTCCTCTAAATAATGTTTACCTCCCTAATGACTCCCTACCAGGCAGAGACCACCGCCCCTTTCTACCTTCCTCGCCCCCTCTCCATTTTTATTCCATAGCACTGATCAAATCAGCACACATTGATAGCCATCGGCTGAATTCTCTCACACACACAAGCGCACACGCACTCTGAACCACACACGTACACACAGACCTCACTATCGCAGTTTTCTCTACTCCTCTACAAAATGTTTATTTGTCTTCTGACTCCACTCACGGTGTGCGCCGAGTGACTGTGGCTGCCATCCAACAACAACAGTGTCTCTGTATGGTTATGTGTGCGTACATACAGACATACAGGGATGGGTGTGTGTGCACATGTGTGTCTATTAAAGGTTGAGGGGTTTGTTTACAGTGTTGAGAGCGGCACTTACACACACTAACATGTGTACAGAGTCTCAATTCAAAATGACTCAGCTCTCTGAATGTTCCTGGGGCAATTTTCAGAGGGAGTTTTACGCAGCCAAATGTTTCATTTGCACTAAACCTGTTTATTGATTCCAAGGCAGGAAAACGCAGTTGGACTACATCAGTGTGTGGAACACAATTACACATTTACCATTTTTTTATTAACTGCACGTGTTTCCTCGTTGTGTAATTCTCACAGAGTTTACAACTGCTCTGGATTTTTCTGTTTCCTTTTTTAAACAGAAAATTTGCTATCCAAATGTTGTCACACAGACCAAAAAGTTAAAAGTAATCCTGGGCCACTACCGTTACATTTGGTTTTGAACTCAAACTATGGAGCTGGTTTTAAAATATATTTAGTTTCTACTATCCTCCCCAAAAACATTATATAAACTATTGTGAATGAATAGATAAAAGGTCTGAATTATGTAGAAAATTAAGGTCTGTATATTATTCTTGATGTAAAACATGTAAACAGTGTCAGACTGCAAGGCAATTGACTGCTAGGAATATCTGGGTTGATGGCTTTCTAATTTCTTAATAATTTCCATATGTTCTTCCTGATAGTGTTTCCATAGTTCTGTTCAAGTCTTAAGAATTATTTTGCACCTGGCGCGATCGGCAGACATTTATGTTGTTGTACACTGTCTTCACCTGCTGGCAGTAGCTACTTATTGACGCATCAAAAATTTTTCCAGCTTTGCCAGCCTTGGGTCCCCATTATTCAGCATCAAAGTTTATCTTGTTTTCAGTGCTACTCATGTCCTTTCCCTCTTAGTAAATAACACTTTTTTGCACTTTTTCACATTTGATGTTGTGTTTTCCTCCTCTTTCTACACCTCTATTAGGAAATTATTTTCTTGTTTATTCGTTGCGTGTATATAAAATATCTTACCTCCAGTAGAAGGTGTTATGGTAAATATCAAAATGTTTAAGTTTAGAAAAATGGACGAAAAGCTTTAAAACGAAAAGTTTTAATTAAACATATAGAATAATTGTTCCCACCACAGCTCTCTCTAGCTTTAAAAAGTTTAGATTTATATTGTTAAGCCTGATAGTTCTTCTTTAGCCTTTTAATTGCCACTTGATTTTTTTTTTTTCCATTTGAACAGTAACTATGGATGACTGTTTTAATGGTTTAGTCTATAAATCTCTGAATGGCTTAGCACCTACAGGTGCTGGTCATAAAATTAGAATATCATGAAAAAGTAGATTGATTTCAGTAATTCCATTTAAAAAGTGAAACTTGTATATTATATTCATACATTACATACAAACTCATATATTTCAGATGTTTATTTTGTTTAATTTTGATGATTACAAATGACAACAAATGAAAATCTCAAATTCATCATATCAGAAAATTAGAATATTGTGAAAAGGTTCAAAATTGATGGCCCCTGGTGCCACACTCTAATCAGCTAATTATCTCAAACCACCTGCAAAAGCCTTTAAATGGTCTTTCAGTCTAGTTCTATAGGCTACACAATCATGGGGAAGACTGCTGACTTGACAGTTGTCCAAAAGACGACCATCGACACCTTGCACAAGGAGGGCAAGACACAAAAGGTCATCGCTAAAGAGGCTGGCTGTTCACAGAGCTCAGTGTCCAAGCACATTAATAGAGAGGCGAAGGGAAGGAAAAGATGTGGTCGAAAAAAGTGTACAAGCAAGAGAGATAACCGCACCCTGGAGAGGATTGTGAAACAAAACCCATTCAAAAATGTGGGGGAGATTCACAAAGAGTGGACTGCAGCTGGAGTGAGTGCTTCAAGAACCACCACACACAGACGTATGAAAGACATGGGTTTCTGCTGTCGCATTCCTTGTGTCAAGCCACTCTTGAACCACAGACAGCGTCAGAAGCGTCTTGCCTGGGCTAAAGAGAAACAGGACTGGACTGCTGGTGAGTGGTCCAAAGTCATGTTCTCTGATGAAAGTAAATGTTGCATTTCCTTTGGAAATCAAGGTCCCAGAGTCTGGAGGAAAAGAAGAGAGGCACTTCATCCACGTTGCTTGAAGTCCAGTGTAAAGTTTCCACAGTCAGTGATGGTTTGGGGTGCCATGTCATCTGCTGGTGTTGGTCCATTGTGTTTTCTGAGGTCCAGGGTCAACGCAGCCAAATACCAGGAAGTTTTAGAGCACTTCATGCTTCCTGCAGCTGACCAACTTTTTGGAGATGCAGATTTCATTTTCCAACAGGACTTGGCACCTGCACACAGTGCCAAAGCTACCAGTACCTGGTTGAAGGACCATGGTATCCCTGTTCTTAATTGGCCAGCAAACTCTCCTGACCTTAACCCCATAGAAAATCTATGGGGTATTGTGAAGAAGAAGATGCAATACACCAGACCCAACAATTCAGAAGAGCTAAAAGCCACTATTAGAGCAACCTGGGCTATCATAACACCTGAGCAGTGCCACAGACTGATCGACTCCATGCCACGCCGCATTGCTGCAGTAATACAGGCCAAAGGAGGCCCAACTAAATACTGAGTGCTGTACATGCTCATACTTTTCATGTTCATACTTTTCAGTTGGCCAACATTTCTATAAATCCTTTGTTTTTATTGGTCTTCAGTAATATTCTAATTTTCTGATATGATGAATTTGAGATTTTCATTTGTTGTCATTTGTAATCATCAAAATTAAACCAAATAAACATCTGAAATATATGAGTTTGTATGTAATGTATGAATATAATATACAAGTTTCACTTTTTAAATGGAATTACTGAAATCAATCTACTTTTTCATGATATTCTAATTTTATGACCAGCACCTGTAAATACATCACAGACTTGCTATCAGTGTATCAACCCTCCAGACCACCAAGGTCTTCTTGCTCCAGCCTGCTCTGCATACCTACTGAAGAACCAGAACTAAACAAGGAGAAGCAGAGTTTAGTTCCTATGCTCCACTTATCTAGAATAAACTCCCAGAACACTGTAAAAGTGCCTAAAGCTAGAGTTCCTTTAAATCAAGAGTAAAAACACATTTGTTTAGGATTGAATTTGACTGTTCTAGTTAAAAAGTTCAACTGAAACATAATTTGTTCAACTTTTTTTGTCTTTAGTCCAACTGTTTTGAATATTCTTTTTTGTTTTTGCATTTTTTATTTTATTTTATTAATTTATTAATTTTTTTCCTACTTGCTTTGATTCTGTTTTATTTTCCTATATTTTAATCATGTAAAACACTTTGCATTGCCTTTGGACTGAATTGTGCTATACAGATAAATTTGCCTTGCCTTGCCTTGTTTTACTTTTTGATCAGCTGCTGTTTAGTCAACATCGCTGTTTGCTAGCAGTTCTGATTTGCAGCTGTGGCCTACCATATTTAGGCTGAAAGTCAGTTGCATTTATTATCATTATTGTAATCTGTAGATAGAGTTTATTTCACATGGTGTTTTTGTCCCCTGAGAAACAAATCTGTTTCTGATAAGCACTTAATCAATAATGATAATTAAAGCAGCAACAGAATTGACAATCAGAGTCATAATCAGTAGCGATCAGTGATTGCTGGCCCAAAAAAAGGTTGAGAACCACTGCTCTAATGCCATGTGTTAGCTGATGAAAACTCTGATGGTGTTTCCTCGTCTACAGCAAATCTGAAACTGATTATGGAGATGCAGAAATCCCAGTATAAATAGGCACTCTGGTGATTTGAATCATCTCACTGAAGATATTGCAACCATTGTACTTGTCTTGTCCTTTCTTATATTTTTTAACTTTTTTCTCTTGTCTTGCAGCTGATTACACCACACGCTATTCGAGTGCAGACACCTCCCAGACACATCCCCGGGGTCGTAGAGGTCACCCTCTCTTACAAGTCCAAACAGTTCTGCAAAGGCACACCAGGGAGGTTTATATACACAGGTAATTAAAAAAAGACATTAGAACTGAGTGTATGTGAGTGAACAAGTACTGACTGAGTGGTGTTAGTTTGTAAGCCAGAGGTCCGGAGTTGATTTTTGGAGATGTGTGATTGCCTTTTAGTTTTTTAGAAACTGCATGCACATGTGTATGTCTGAATAGCATCTCTGAGTTGCAGTTGACTCTCAGGCCAGACAGCATTGAACTAATGACTGCAGATTAGTCAACATTAACGACACACACTCGTTAGAATGTTGCCATAATCAGGGGCTCGTTAAAAACCAGCTACAATTAAACAGTCTGCTCCTTATATGCCCGCATACTGAAACTATTAGTGAAATCACCCAGAACACCCAGTTTACTAACACATACACACGCACGCACATGCAAAAACACAGACACTAAATATCTACAAACTGCACACTATGTTGAAACAGTGTGTGACTTCTGGGTGGATTGTTCACTGTAAATGGGTGTTTTCCTGCTAAACGAGGTGAAAAGGAGGAAAGAGTTGAAGAGAGGAAGAAAGGATGTGTGTGTATGTGTGGTTCTTGTTTTCACATACATGTGGAAATGGACGGAGGTGATGTTATGTCTGGTATTGATCCACTGCTGAACATGGCTCCAACACACCATAATGATGACGTCAGTATGGGGGTGGGGGGTATTAGCTGCTGCATAAACACTTAGAGGCAGGAGAAATTTCAGGATTCTGGAGATACTGTAATGGTTTAAGTCTTATCAATAAGGAAAACATTATAAGTAGTAATTACTTTAGTTTCAAAGTAAGTTGACTGTTTTGTTTGAAACTGTTTTCTTAACTTTTTGATTGCTTTTTCACTATCAGTTATATAGATTCGCTGATTTAAACTTTAACATATTAAAGCTATAAGTCTTGTTATTGCAACATTTAGTCGGAATTCTAAATTAATATTGCAAAGACAATCTGGTTTGATTGATCCAAATTCGCGTAAACCTTTCAGTTGTTTGGGGGTTTTTTTGAAAACCGCAGGACTTCTGTACACTTCGTTAACATTTCAGCCACAGATGTAAGCATCAAAGATAGTGAACATTTTCTAACTGGTCAAATATATCCTGTTTTATTCAAAATCATAATGTATGGTGCCTAAAATACTTTAGAGACCCAAATGAATGCATGATTGATTTAGGATGGCTGTATTGCAAACATTTATGTCACAATTACAGTTTGGTACAGTACTGAGTCCATTCTGAAAACTCTACTTAGCCTCAAAACATTGTGGCCTAAAATATTTCTTATATCAAGCAAAGTTATAAAAAAATGCCCCTTAAATTATGCCTTTTCAAAAATTAGCTTGGTTGCTTTAGATTTCTGGAAGTGTGTTTGTTTAAAAATGAGTCTCAAAACCTGATTGGTAAGGCACGAAACTCTGACATAAGTCTGCTGATTAGAATCGTGATCCCTAAAACTAATTTAGAGCATTTACTGTAGAGCAAAAACATCCTTTACAGGGGAAGCATGCAAAATGCTGAGTAGTAGTTTTAGGAATGCTTAATTGCTTTATTGGTCAAAAAGATTTATGCATTGTTTATTGAGAGTTATATTATTTTTTTGGTTGTAGTTTTTTTTCTTTTATTGTTTGGATATCTTTTTAAACAGAATTTTATGCATTTAACATAAAAAAAAGTTATTGGTTGAATGCAAATAATATTAACTATAAATATACCAGGATTATATAAGCTTAACTGCATATATAACCTTGTATTTCTCTGTGGTCTATCTTTGAGAAATTTAGGCTACCATATTTTCCGGACTATAGAGCTCACCTGACTATACAGTAAGCCACATCCACATTTTTTTTTTTTACTAGAAAAGTGCACATATATGCCTCACCGTGTTATATGCCGTTGATATCTACTGAACTGTCTCTAACCAAACCTGTAGGGGGAGCTCTACATATCACCCCTAGAGTGAGCTTGTTGGCTGGCTGCAGTATGAGCTTCTAATGAAGGATGGGGCTACAGGAAGCACAATCCGTACCATCAGCTCATTCGCGCATGCGCAACCAGATATACATCCGGGTCGCCCTCGTTTTTACTGTGTAAAAAAGACTGAAATTATTTTTTCCCCCTAAAAATAGTAAGAGTACTAAACTATAATGAGTTAAAGTTTAATCATGTATTTTCTGAGAAAATAAATGCCTTAAAATTCTTTCTGCTTTATCACTCGTCTTTGCACGATCTATACCAACAATGGAATCCTATACAGCTTCGTGGAGCTAACTTTTTCGGCTTTGGATTTCAACATAACTCTTGTCTTTTTGAGTTTTATTTTTTCTTTTTGTGTTAAACTTATGGTACATAGTGTGTAATCTAAAGAAAGAAATCAAAATGCATATAAACATGGTTTAATCATATTTTGTCGGACTGCTCTGAGCATTTCAGACAAGCAGTTTAATGTAGAAATGTAAGCGCATCAAATTGCCAGAAAAACAAGTTATCTTTTTATTTTTTTATTTAAAGGTGTGTATTAGCATTTTTTTGTGATTTAACGATAAAAATAAGTATTTTTCAGTGGTGTCAAAAGTTCACACATTTGTTACTTAAGTAGAAGTATAGATACTGCAATTTAAAAACACTCTGGTAAAAGTTGAAGTATCAACTTGACCTCTTTACCCAAGTAAAAGTGAAAAAGTATGTGCTCCAAAAACTACTTAAAGTAGAAAAGTATAAAGTAACCTAAAGTAACAACATTTCAACATCTTTTTCTGAATCTGACATTGTAGCATGACATAGACAATTCACATTTGCAGTTTGAAGAATACCTGCTTGCTTCTGATCATTTCCTTTGGCGTCCGCACAAATTTGAAGAATAGGTAACTAATGAGTGTTTGTGTTATATGACTCATCCCATTACACTACTTTTACTCTAGATATGGATGGCACCAATGATCTGCATTGGATGGCGGACATGACGTGAAATAGATATTTAGAAACATTAAACTGAAACCAAGAGTAAAGTTTGTTTTAAAAATGTAAGGAATAGAAAGTACAGATACTCGTGTGAAAATGTAATGAGTAGAAGTCAGAAGTGGGAGGAAAAATAAGTAATGTAGTAAAGTATAGGTACATAGAACGAAGTATTTGTACTTTGTTACTTAACACCTCTGGTACTTTTAGTACCATAATTACATTATCTATAATGACCTGTATTAATATCTGCTTGCACATGCGCAATGAGCTGATGGTACAGAATCGGATAGTGTCTGTTGCTAGAATGTTTTTGTGCTAAATTAATATTAGTCCCTTCTTCTTTGATTTCCAACTTTGAATTCTACCCCTATGGTGGTTAGGAAACCCGCAGAAAAGCTGCACCATTCATTTAAGCGGCATGGTTCGAAGCATAGGAAAGTAGAAAGAGCATATAATCTGGAAAATACAGTAATTTTTATCCGCAACTTTTCAAAATGGCAAGATAATAAACCATCTGAGTAAATAAGTTGTGACTTTATGTTTAAATTGCTATGAGAATAACCTAAAATTGCCTATACTTACATTCTGAGCAGTAATATTATGGTTATACAATTGGAAACACAGGGAAACAAACCATCGGGGGGCCCTGTTTTAGGCTATATCACCACAAGGAAGAGACACTGCTAAGGAAAGTAAGAAACTTTGAGTCCCATCTTAAATCCGAATAAGTCAATTATTAAGTGCTTTGATATATGTCAAAGCACTTAATACAATATTTGCAGATTTTGCTTCAGACCAACTGTTGCTGATTCCAGGTGCTGCTCAGAACTACCCTCAATAATGCTCTGGTTAGATATTGCTGCAATTTCAGTTTTGGCTGCAGTTTTAGCTGGTTTTCACCAATGATTCCAAAAAGCTTACATGCTTACATCTGCTTTAGTGTTATTCATCTAAATCATTTTTAGACCGACCCTGAGGCTAGCCAGCAGGTAATTGGTCCGTCTGGCATCCAACTCCTCTTCCTATTGGACAGGATTGACCCCCCGGTGACCCGGCGATTGGCTGATCGCTTCAACATGTGACCCAGGAAACATGATCCGTCACAGCGGTCGGATGACCCTGCCTCAAGCCTGACTTGTCTCTGGAAGGTCCCAGCAGTGAAAGCTGATTGGCTACTTGTGGTTTTTCGGTCCTTTTGCTGTGGTTGCCTCTGGGTGTGAGGGCTGCGTGATTTAAAATGCTCATGGGTACACACACACAAATACACAAGTGAAAGGCAACATTGAATGCAGCACGAGCAGGGTCATGTCTTACACAACTTGCCACACAGACCTTCAAACAGGGACAGAAGTTGAAAGTAATTGTAAATCAGACTGATATGAGGGAAAGATGGCGACTAGTCTGGTTAACAGATGGTCTACCACATTTAAACCGTCCACACACACACAGACACACCTGAATATGTAGCCGTATGGCTGCTTTATCTGCCTGATGGAAAAAATTAACATTCTTGACATCACACACAGCTGTAAACACACTCCATGGTGCAAAGTGACAATCAATAAATACCTAAACTCAGATACCAACATTAACGCACATTAAGAAAGTAGAGCCGTGATAGGAAATCTATAACAAGGCCGTGGACAGGAAACATAGGGAAGAAATGTACTGTTTTTTGTGTGTGTCTTTTTTAGACATTTGAACCTCTCTTTTTAAGTGTCAAAGGAAAGCAATAAGAATCTGAAGTGTAGTAAAAGAGATACAGCTCCAGAAAGACATATGGACTTTTAAAACAAGATTGTAAAGTATCGATCCTCTCATAAGTGGATCACACATACATTACAGTGGTACACGCATGCAGATACACACATGTATGACCGGGTAGAGACAGCAGGCTCCAGAGAAAGAGATCTCATCTCATAAGGGGAAGAATGAAGCAATAATTCAGTGGTATTGAACTTCTGGCTGGCCAGAGAATCAATATCACCACACCTCCTCTTTGTTTCCTCCTCCTCTTTCTTCTGCTCTTTTTACATCAGCCCTCTTTGTCC